AATTGAAGGAAAGACTAATGTTTTAGCATGGTTTTTACATGCATTTACAAAAGCTTGTAAAATTTTAGTTAAAATGAATGCATTTCCAATTAGTTTAAAAGAAATTATACTAAAACATTGCTTTCTTCAAAAGTGTGTTTTTTTTTAATTTTATTAATATTGTTAAATGAGAGTAATGTTTGCTTGCCAATTTTAAAGTTTTGAAAAAATATTTTAAGATTTGCAGAAATGTATATAATTTAATAGAATATATAAAACTATTGTTTATTTTAGTTTTCATTCTTTACTGTGTGTTTAACAACACCATTAATATTATATTTTATTAATAAATACTTAATATTATAAATATAATATCATATTAAGTATTTAATATGATATTATATTTATAATAACTGGTTGAGTCGTATTTTATGTATGTAAACAAAATAAGCGAAAACACAACTAAGAATATTTAAAATTAAAAAGCAAAAAAAATTTTACAAAATATTATTGCATAATTATGCAACATCGTTATAAGCAAAAGAAATATGTTTTAATGTTTAATAATAAAAACCCGTTTTTAAAGAACATTTTATAATTTTTATCTTTTCTTTTTAATATATTCAAACCTGATAAGTTGATTTTAAATATTTAATGAAATCATTAAAAATTACACTTTTGTTTGTGTCTGAATTTCTCCAACAAACTTATGTAAGTAGCTTGTAAATGAAGCTTGTAAATAAAGCCTTGTGGCGCTTTATTTTCTCTTATTGTAATTCTTGTCTCAGTAGAACAAAATGCTCTTGGTAATAACATTTATTAATTAAAAAAGCGCAATAAAAATGAAGTGTAAAAGTTTAACATCTACCCAAGGCAGTTCTACAAGACAGTAGCTGTATGCAGTTAACATCTGCCCAAAATAAGTATTTTTATCTAGACACCATCTCTAGCCTTTACTCAACCAAGTTCCCCAAGGCAGGTTATTTTTAAGTCCGAGTTTATTTCTCCTAGCTTTTGCCTAAAAATGTAAACCCTACATCAGGTCATGGGGCAGGTTGTACTGAGTTACATTATACAAGTAGCAGGGTGATTGTGATAATCCTGAACTTGAGTTGACCTGGAGTAGTTCAAAGGAATTACTACCTGGAATTGTCGAAAGGGAATAAAAGATTCCATGCCAGCCTGAATCCAAGAAATTACGTAAGAAGCACATTTGTCAGCAGTAAGACGAAAGATTTCTACCCAAAGGCCATCATGAAGAAAATCACAGATAGAGTCCCAGTCAGCTTTAAGGTAGTTGTAAGAGGTACAATGATAGGAGGATTCTGATGACAAAGAAGAATAAGATAATAGTTTTAGAGAGATCAAACTTTGATCAGAAGCACCTAAAGGTAAATGTGGAGAAACTGAGCACTGACTAGGGTCAGAAACAAGAAATAAGTCAAGTAGAGAAGGTAAATGATTGGGACTGTCTGAAAAGTAAGTTGGAAAGCTGAATACTTGAGATTAGAGATTGAGAAAGACAAAAGTTGTGGGCCTTAATTCCTGCAGAGTCACTGACACTAGAGCCAAGCCATTCACTGTGATGAGCATTAAAGTCACCAACAACGATATTGGCTGATAGATAAAGAGAGAGGACTTGGTCAATTTAATCAGAAATAATATTGAAAAGAGTGCAGTCTTGAGATGAAAGAGAGCAGTATAGAACAAAGAGAAAGGCAATAGAGTGAAGTGGTACTAAACAAAAGCACATATAAGAGTAATCTGTGGATTCAAACCTAGTTTCCCGACAAATGGGTGAATTCTTTCGAATGTAAATGCCCAGGCAAAGCATGTGACTATTGGAGTCTTTACGAATTAAAGGAAAATAACCATCAACACTTAGGTCACAAGATGAACTTAAATTAGTCTCACAAAAAGCAAGTAGGTCTGGTAAACATTGCAAGAGATAAGACTCAACAGAAGAAAAGTTACTTCGAAAACAAGGAATATTAGTGAATGATGTGAATGGTTTGGAGAACTTGTTGATGATGGTTTATTGTGTTTTATAGTTTTTGGTACTTTATTCATTTTTAAATTTGTTAAAGTACTTTACTCAAAGTATAGATTGTACTCAGTACACTATTTAATAGTCCAAGCAATTGCTTCATTACTATATATAAACCCTAAGCTGTAAAAAGGACCTCAAATGTGGTATCGACAATGCACACCAAAAGTAAGAACAGGGATATTATCCATGTGCAACATGGCACTGTTAATACTTTGATATTTTTCAGCTGTTGATGGAAAAGGCCTCTCTAAGAACTACCACAGAGTTCTGGAAACCTGACTACCAGTTGGCCTCAGAATCATAAAACTCAGTTTTAGAGCTGTGACCTCATTAGGAGATAATAGAATGAGTTGCCTAGTCATAAAAACACAGACACAAGCAAAACCATGCGTTGAGTCAAGAAGACCCAGAATTCAACATCCTAAACTGGAAACAATGTATTAAAAATACATCTGTGCCAGCCTAATAGATAAAGAAGGGGTGCGAGGCTGGTCAACAGATAGAATCTGTTAACCCCTTAAGTCTTTGCCAAGAGGCCTTCTACAAGACAGTAGCCGGATGCCTTTAACATCTGCCCAAGATGAGTTTTTTTATATCTAGCCTTTATTCAACCAAGAGCCCCAAGACAGGAGTTGTTTTAAGTCGGAGTTGTCTTAGCCTTTCTCTTAGCCTTTGCCTAAAAAAGTGTATGCAGGACATAAAGATGGTTGAAGCAATTAATTTTTCAAAGTTAAAAATTGCTGTTGTCTAATAGACAAGATAGACAGAGTACAGAAGGCCATTGGGTCTGCAATTGAGAGCCGGGAATTTTATTATTGGGTTGAGAAGATTGCAGAAAAATTAACAAAAGAATGAGCCTATGGGCCAACGAGTGTTGCAATGCTTCTGACAATAAAATTTATAAAATATCATTGAAATAAGGGGTCTTCTGTAAAGAGCATACCCATGTATGAGGGAAGGGGATTACCCAAAAATGTCTGAATGCATATAAGGAAAGGGGTGTTAAAGACAGCCAGTGCATGCGTGGTTTGACTATTCTCACTCTCTATATCTCTTAAAACCAGATTTCTTTATTATTTTAACAAAAGCATAGAATTTCACTAATTTTAAAAATCAATATTATGTTATGTAACAGAGATATCTCAGTTAATAAACATTTTTATTTTTTTCAACATTTTGAAAAATTTATGTGTATTATTTTAAAAAGTTTAGGAAAAAGAAGGGTGTTGATTTTGTAATATAAAATTAATACATACACAAAAAGGAGGGGAGAGGTGTTAAAAGCATATAGGTACATACAAGAAGGGAGGGAGATTTCAAATTTAATGAGAAATTTTAGAAATATGCAGAAAAGGCAGAAATATGAAATTAAAATAAAGTTTGTATAATATTATTTTTTTTTTGGAAACATTGAATAGTTATGCAGTCATTATGCATATATCATATTAGAAAACCATTAAGCATTCCTGAGAATGTTTATTAGTTGTTCATCTTGACTTTAAAATAAATTCTGGAATCCCTCGAATATTTACTACTGTGATCAAAAAGGTAAAAATGTTTATAAAATATAAATTTTTTATTTATTCTTTCAAATCAATTTCATCCCCTTCAAAGTAATCCCCATCTGATAAAACTCACTTTTTCCAACGCTTTTTCCTGTCCTCGAAACAGTTTGAAAAGTCTTGTTACGGTATCAATTGTGTCAAAATGGCGTCCCTGCATCAGCTTTTTGAGTTTGATGAATAGATAGAAGTTGGACAGAGCAAATCAGGCAAATACAGTGGTTGCAGAACAATATTAGTCAAGTTTTTGGCAAAAAAAGTTGTCAAGAACCTATGCAGTATAACATGATGCATTATGGTGATGAAGGAAAGAGTTGTTCGCCCATGAATCTGGCTGTTTCAGAGAAATAGCTTCATGCAACTAATACATAATGCTCAAATAATATTCTTTGTGGACAGTTTAGCCCAGCATAAGGAATTCATAGTGTACCACACTACAATAATCAATGAAAACTGTCAACATTTCTATTGACTATGCTGTGGTCTTTTTGGTTTTGCTTCACCTTTTGCATGATATTCGCTGGTCAGTGGTTTCAGAGTCGTATGTGTAAATCCAAGTCTTATCTCCAGTAATAATGCATTTCAAGTGGTTCTGAGTCAGACAACAAAGTTTTATACACATCAACGCAACACTTTTTATCCAAAAAATTGAGAAATTTCGGCACCAATTGAGACTTAACGCGTTTAAGACAAAACTTTTAAATGGTTTGAGCTGAGCCAAATCATATACACTATCAGCAAGATCTCTAATTGTCAAATGAGGATTTTTAAGCACCAAATCTTTGATTTTTTGGACATGTCCCTCATCAGTAGAGGTTGATGGTTGTCTAGAGCACGAATTGTCTTCCAATAATCAACGAGTTCAAAGAATGAGTTCAAAGAGGGCCAATAACATCGCGTTATTGGCCCTCTTTGAACTCATTTTACCACTTATAAACGTTTTTTTGTGTCATAGTTTGATAACCAAAGGCCTTCCACAACATTTTTAATGTATCCACACAAGAGTATTTGTTCCTCAAACAAAACTTGATGCAAGTTCTTTGCTCAACAAAATCACCCATTGTAGAAATTGAAAAATTTACTTTTGGTTGTTCACAAAAACATGTGTAACTCAGAGATAATCAAACCTTTAAACAAACAGATGCTTGGCAGTTGTTATTGACAGTCCTACCAACCTAGGAAAAAAAATTGTCTGCCTTCACAATGCCTGGGAGTTTTGAATGACAATTTCACCTTACTTTTTGATCATAGTAGTATTTAAATTTCTGAAAAATAAAATCAAAAGTTTTTAAAAGTCATTGAGCTCAAGGTCTTTTAAATTATTACTTAGTAATACCAGATTGTAGTTAAAATTCGATTATAGTAAAAATTACAAATGAAATTTTTATATGACTGTGGTTTATCTTTAGAAGAGAAGTTTCACTAGCACTTCGTGGAAAATGTGATGGATCTTTTCTTGTGCGTAAATCTGAAAACAGGCTTGGGGAATGGACTTTAACTGTTATGTAAGTATAATTTGTTGTTTTTAATAAGAAAATATACATATATATATATATATATATATATATATATATATATATATATATATATATATATATATATATGTATATATATATATATATATATATATATATATATATATATATATATATATATATATATATATATATATATATATATATATATATATATATATATATATATATATATATATATATATATATGTATATATATATATATATATATATATATGTATATATATATATATATATATAAATATATATATATATATATATAAATATATATATATATATATGTATATATATATATATATATATGTATATATATATATATGTATATATATATATATATATATATATATATATATATATATATATATATATATATATATATATATATATATATGTATATATATATATATATATGTATATATATATATATATATAAATATATATATATATGTATATATATATATATATATATGTATATATATATATATATATGTATATATATATATATATATATATATATTTATATATATATATATATATATATATATATATATATATATATATATATATATATATATATATATATATATATATATATCAGTGTGGAAAATACGAAATCTAAGGCAAGTGGTCAATTTGACAGGCTAACACATGGAATTGATGGTCAAATTGTTTTTTTGGGGCGGTCAAATTGTTTTTATTTTTTCTTTGTTTAAATTTTTCTCTGAGACTCAGAGTCTGAGTGAACTGACTGAAAATTCATGACTGAAACACACAAAATTAACTTAATGATTGAAAATAAACAAACTTGTATTCTTTTTAAAATAATAATTTTAAATAAAATCAATGCATTTTTTAAATTCGCAATAACTAAAGTTCAAATTACCTGCTAATGTTAATTTGTTTAAAATAACGCTTGCACGCACAGATTTTCATTTAATTAAAAAAAAAAGAAGTTTGATAATATCCAAATAATTTAGTGTTTATTTTTTATTTTTTATAAGATATTAAAACAAATAATATAAAAAATTAGAAAAACTTAAATTGAATACTTAATACTAAAAGAAATCTTTTTATGAAACGTCATTAAAAAATGAAAGTGTTGTTTGTTTCTTTTTTCTTGCCTCCATTGAGGCGGGTTAATCTTTGATTTACATATTATACAGTTCAATAATGGGAAGAAAAAAAAGTGCAAATGTGCGATTTTAATTTTGAATTTATTTTTAAAAAAATCATTCGCTGCAATGACTTCTCATTAGGGGTCGTCCATAAAGTACGTACGCTCATAGGGGGGAGGTCTTCAAAAAGCATACAAAGCATATGGGGGGGGGGAGGTTCAATTTAAAAGTACTTACATCGATTTACTAATTTATTACAATTAACCAGCTAATCAATAGAACAGTTAAAATTCTGACTAAAGATCCTAGTTTTCCAACATAAAAAGATGTTTGGTATAGGGAGTAGAGGGTATGGTTTCCCTCAATTCACACACATGCAAGGGGGCCCACAGGATTTTTTGATGCTGATAGGACATTTTCACACTTATTGTGCAAACTCCAAACTTAAGTATGTTTATACCTTCGCTAAACGAGGGGGCCTTGTAAAAAATTAAGAAGGCAGAAGCCTGGGAGCAAAAAAGCCCTGAAACGCCCCCTTAAAAAAAAAGAGGAGAGGTGTAAATTTAGTATGGTCATAACTTATGTAATTTACAATATTTTTCTCCGAAATTTTAAATCTGTCAATAAATTTAAATTTAGTTTTATATGATAAAGTTGAAATTTTACTACATTAGTGCCCTCACGTTTTGGTGGCAAGCGTTTTTGGGCTTTTTTATTCCTAGGCCTCCCCCATCCCAATTTTTTGAAAGGCATCCTCAATTAGCATAGTTATATTTAAATTTTAGAGCTAGCACAAATTTCACACATTTGGCATAGGCATACTTATGTTTGGAGCTTGTGCAAGCTCCAAACTTAAGTATACCTATGCTAAATGTGTGAAAGTGTCCTATCTAGAACATCAAAGAATCCTGTGGGCGCCCATGCACACATGCCACCCTTTATATACTGGCCCTAAGTAAAGCGTATTTCAGGCAATATATTTTTTGAGTCGACAAAAAACAGGTTTTAGCAGTGCCATGGTTAATGGGTCGAAACCCCCCTTCAAAAAAAAAAAAAAAACAACAACAACATGTCATTTGGGTCTCAAAATCTCCCAAATTTTACCGCTAGGTTTCACTAAAATAAAAAGCTCCTTAGATTAACAAAAAGACACAAAAATTTTTGTCCCTAAAAGTTAGGGGAGGGGGTAATTCAAAAACATACGTACTTTTTTAGGGGGAAGGACTTAGATGTATTCATGGCAACAGGGGGAAGGAGGGGGTCAGATTTCAAAATTTTTTGGTGTACATACTTTATGAACGACCCCTTAGCAAGAAAAAGCTTAGAAAAAAAAATTAATGAAAAGATTAAATGATAAAAAAAAGTAAAGTTTGAAGAGTAAATGTTTTTAGTAACATACAAAAATTTAAAATAATAATTTTATATCTCTGATATTTTAGTGAGCTGAGATATAATTATTTTTTTTATTTTTGCTCATTTAAAAATGTAACAATTAGTTATTAACACTCATGCGCAGAAACTATTTAAACAAATACTTAATACTAAGAAGACAATCACTTTATGAAACACTACTATAAAAATTACTAATATTACATAAAACGAGATTTTACTAAATGTATATATTTTTGAGAATCCTATTATAGAAAACTTTAAATTCTTAAAATCATTCATACATTAATTACATTTACTGCAAAAACTTACGAGAAAATAAGGCAAAAAAAAAGTGACCAAGTACAGATAAAAGAAAAAATTTTCTCAGTTAAATACAACAATCATGATATAGTTTTATATTATTATAAAAATAATATATTGAATATTTTTATTAAAACAATAACAAAATAAGAACTTCAATTTATGAAATAAAGGTTTTTTAACTACCAATAAAATGAATGTAAATAAGTGAAGCAAAAAAAAAATTAAATTAAATAAAAATGATATAGTTTGCGTCATATATTTGTCAACAAAGCAAATTAAAGTTGTCGTAAACTATTTTAAATCCTTATTTGAATCAGTGAAAAAGTTGGACTCAAAACACATTATGCAAATCTGCCCTTTTAAAAAACTCATTTAAAATCTAAATGGTTTTATAAATTTTTAGTATATGCATTTTTTAAATTAAATCATGATTATTTGTAAAACCTTGTTTTCAAAAATTTGATTTTTTTTTTTCAATCGATCAAACATGGCCATCAAGAATTTATTTTAGGAGGTCAAAATAGCAGTATATATATATATATATATATATATATATATATATATATATATATATATATATATATATATATATATATATATATATATATATATATATATATATATATACTCTTGCATGGTAGTTAAAAAGAGTTTCCTATAAACTGTAGTTTTAAAGAGCGCGTTAATAAACCAGACCAGAAAAAGTTTAAAAAGTTGAATTTTTTTTTTTTTTTTTATGATAGACTGCCTGCCCAAACCAAACCCTCAGTCGATGTAGCAGCACTCCGTTGTGAGTCAGGCTATTTGTCAGTCGTTGTAGCAGCACTCCCTTGCGAGTTAGGCTATTTGTCAGTCGATGTAGCAGCACTCCGTTGCAAGTCAGGCTATTTGTCAGTCGATGTAGCAGCACTCCGTTGCGAGTCAGGCTATTTGCAGTCGATGTAGCAGCATTCCATTGCGAGTCAGGCTATTTGTCAGTCGATGTAGCAGCACTCCGTTGCGAGTCCGGCTATAAGATAGTCGATGTAGCAACATTTACGCATATTTTAAAAATGTTTTTTAATAAAACAAAAACAAAAACACCACTAATAAAAAAAAACTTTCTAGTTGTTATAATTGCGGTTTTTTAAAAAAATTTTAAAAAACAATAAAATTTAATGTACTTCCGCATTAATTTAATTGCTTTGACATTTCGACGACAATCAAATACAGCTTAAGAGACGAGGTAATTAAAATTGTAGTCGAAAGAGACTTTTTTTACATTAAAACGCTCTTTCGACTACACTATTAGGATATATATATATATATATATATATATATATATATATATATATATATATATATATATATATATATATATATACGTATTAGTGCTTGCATATTTATATTGATGAACTAAAGTAACTTAAAATGGTTTAAATTAAAACAGAGTTGTATTTATATATATTTTTTCTAAATAAAACTTTTTGGTTTGTGGTTGTCCAGCAAAAACTTGTTCTCATGGCAACATTTAGATATTAGTTGTTTGTTTTTTTTTTGTTTAATAATTCTTTAGAATTTTTATACAATAAAACTAATAGTTTCTCGTATAAGCATAATAGCCTTTTTTTGGTTATGTTGTTTGTGAGTTTTTTGTTTTTGAAGAATTGCTTGTGATTCGCCCATCTAGTTTTCCACATGCCCTCTGTTGAACTAATGTATGTTTCGTTGGGTGTGTTTGGGAATGATGCAATGCACTTATAAATTACATTTCTTTTTCTGCAATTTCCATTTATAGGGCAGATTTTGCTTAGTTTATAATTGCAAACTAAAGTGCCCGTTGGGTTCATTGAAAGAATTTTATTGTTGTGGTTCTATATAATTTTTTAATATCAAATTATAACATCAAGCTGCTCCACTTACTCCACATTCACATATGCACATATTCTTAACATTCTGCTTTTAATAAGAAGTTAGTATGACTAATAATCATCAGGTATAGTATATGTTGTGCCCACTTGAGGAAACTGTCATTAGCCTTGTAGGAATTCCCAATCAATAAACCACTGATCATTGCTAGACCACTGATCATTACCAGCTTCAGCGGTGAGTAGGTTTTTGTATAGGATTTTTTAAACAGACTGTTGAGTTTTACTTTAGAAAGTGACATTTTTTTATTTT